TGAAGATCCTATGGATAGGTGGATTCCATCAAAGTCAACACATCCTCTGGAATATGAGCTGTACAAGCTTCAATCTTGGATGCACATACGGACAGAAAGGTACTTTAAGAAAAAGCAACGCTTACAAGATAAATTCCTGAAAGAGCGAGATGAGATCATGCAGAAGTATGAAGATTTGATCAATGAATTAGATACGCAGTCTTCAACTCCTCGAAAGAAATCTAAAGCGAACTCATCAGGAGATGAGTTTCTCAAGAAGGGGAGTCTGATGTAGACAAAACGGGGGGTCAACTCATGTCCAAAATAATATGAATTTTAGCTTCCCTTGAGTCTACTAGCTCAATCAAAATTGAGCTGGAATTTTAGCTCATTTATGATCTGGTCTTTAGTTCACTTATTGAACTAAGGGTTAACTCATTATTAGCTATGATTTTAGCTCATAGTTATCTTTTTATTAAATGTATTTTTATGTTTTAAATGTTTTAAGTTATGGTGTCTCTTGGGTTTCCAAAAAGGGCTTTTGGAATCCCAAGTTAGTTGTTTAGTCTTCTCATGCATGACTCCTTGGTTTCCTCCATGGTTTCATTGCTTTTGCCCCCTTGGATTCCGGCCGGCTGCTGGTTTCCCGTGCCTGGGGACTCTCCCGTGACCGTGGCCCCTTGGTTCCCGCTCGGCCTCCTTGGCTCTTGCGGCTGCCACTTCGGTTCTTGGGTTTGGGATTTTTTTTCGTGAAAAGCATTTGGGATTAATGCTTGTGATGTTTAGGTTCTTGTGATAATTTAATGTTAGTGTCTCTTGGTATTCCTCTTTCATACCTATAAATATGGGAGGATTTGTAATGTTTTGAATAGTGAATGAAATGTGATTTTTGGAAAAGTTATAACCTGCGGGTTTGCTTTGGAAATCCTACGGGCTCTTTCCACCCTTCTTTCTCATCCCCTCCGGAAATCCTGCGGGCTCTTTCCAACCTTTCTTCTCGGGCTTCTAATCTCTTTCATCTCTCCGCAAGTGCCACTCCATCTGTATCCCTCTTCAATAAGTTCAGCAACTTTAGAGTGTCTTTTTATTTTATTTGGAGTCGTTTGTAAGAGTTTAAGTTATTAAAATCAACGTTTGTAGTTTTAATTTCTGCTGCTTAGTCTTATTTAAGTTACCTCTTCTTTTTGAGATATTTTGTGTCTTCTTTTATCTAGGAAGTCTGTTTTTTCTTTTATTGTGATCCAAAAATATAGGGTCCCCTATATTTTTTTATCGCATCATATTTTTAATATTATTAGCAACATTTCCCATATAACATTAACTTCCTAGTAAAACACTTAAATCTTATGATCATGAATTTTACCCTCAAAATTTTTTTATTATCATTTTTAATTACCCCCATCTAATCTTAGAATAATACTTTACTTTATTTTTTTTATTTTTCATCTCTTTGTCTTAAAATCCAAAACTAATAAGTGATGTTAAGTATATAAACCTTTACTCAAAATAACTTTACAATATTTGTAATCTAAATTATTACTTTTTTATAGGAAAATAATCAATCTTAAGTTTACTATATCCATTCTTACAAGCGATGAAATGCTCTTTTAATAAATAAAGTATTAACATTATAAAAACAAATATGGTCATATCATCTTCATTAGTTGCTAAAAATTCATAGCAACCACGAATGGTTTTAAAATCTTCTACCACTTTACCAACATTTTCATTTAAACCTACTCCAATAAAAACTCTTTTTTAAAGAGATTATTTGTATTAGTTCTTCTAAGTTATTCCAAATTTTATTTTTGAATAAATATCCAAATCAACTTGAGGAGCATAAACATATATTACATTAATAATCTTAGCTTTAACAACAATCTTTAAATTTATGATTTTATCTCCAATTATATTAATTTCTACAACATTATGCTTCAAAATCTTTTATCACATAGACACCATTTTTAGTATGACTCTTTCCTATATGCTAAAGTTTAAATCCTAAACTACCAATCTCCTTAGCATTTTAATCAACCCATTTTGCCTCAATCCATTTTGTTTCCTGAATACATAGAAAATATATCTTCTTATAAATCATAAAATTTATTAATTCTATTAATTTGTCTATAAGAGTAAATATATTAAAAGTTTTTATCCTAATTTTAATTTCATGGACTAGCTTCTTTTCCCACATCCGTCAATGATGTGAACCCTTGTTTATTTAACACTGCACCAAGGAGCCGGCGTAGTGGCCCTTGCACACTTTTTGTTGTATTAGGCCTTAATACATGTCGCTTCCAGGAAATTCTCTAGCATTAACATAATGTATTTAAGGATTTCAATCAAGATTGTTCGACAAGTTTTATGATGGCTATCAACTACCTAATGTGACCCTCCACATTTCTCGTCCAAAACTAAGGACCTGGAAATAACAGTGTTTGGGTGAGCAACTTATAATTTTAAATTAAATATAGAAGTAACTTCTCTTAAAAATGAAAACAACAATGACTAGGCCCACTCAATCGTCTCCAGTTTCATTAAAATCATGCTTTTGGACAAAAGTTGTCCCATACAACAATTTTTTGTGCAGTGCAAGCTCACAAAAAAAAAGTGCAAGTTGCGCTACTTCATCACGTTCTGCAGTGGAACTGCTTCTTTAATTTGTCTCAAAACAATACCCTAATTTAGATTTGATTCAGCAACAACCACAATAGCTAGGTGTGAATCTTTCCTTCTCCTCACTACTTCCTATTGACATTAAGTAGTTGCTCATTGATTCTAAGTTTTTTACTGCTAGAATAATCACTTCTAGCTAGTTCTTTTCTTCATGCACTCTCACTAATTAATTTTCTTATACATTTCTCATTGGTTCTTGATGCAGGAGCTATTAGCTACTTTCCCATAAGCTTCTTTCCAAATATGATTCTCAATACATCATCTTTAAACTCTCTTATTTCACACAGCCTCCATTTTTCAGTATTTAATCAATCAAACTTATAAGTATTCTTTAATTTTAGGTATTATTCATGATCTCCTTATTTCTATCTTTGAATTTTTTGCTTTTGATTTGCTTCAGTTTAATGTTTAAAATTTTCATTATATTTACTAAAATTATTATCTATTGTGTTTAAATTTTACTAATTAAATGACTATCGTAAACATATAATATAAGTATATATGATATACCCCTCATAAATATTCTAATTTGTAAAGAGTCACTTCACTGTGAGTTTTGCACATTAAGGCAAAAAGAAAATCTTGTGCATTGCATATTAGCACTTTGAAATAACTACTCTCTGTGACTGCCTATGAGATCTCTAACAAATCGCATGGTAGCGTTGTTGAAAGTACATAAATGATGAATGTGGAAAACTAGGGGAGAAAAACGTGCTACCCTTGTTTACCACATGCTATTGCATCTTTCCCTTTCTTATTTCTTCAACTTTTTTCATTCTGTTTTGTTGGCTTGGTCAATATTTGTATGATTACACTAATACGACAATATATAAGACCAAACATGCTATAGCATCTTTTCCTCTCCATATTTCTTTGTTATTTTTAATCTTCTTTAGTTGGAGAAAAAGTATTCATGTAGAAAAAGTATTCATGTAGCTGATCCCATGTAGTGGGATAAAGGCTTGATGTTGTTGTTGTTGTTGTTTTAGTTGGCACAATCAATATTTGTTAGATTACACTAGCAAAACAATATGCGAACCCATCTACTACAAATTCCAATCAGTAGACAAATGTAGTTTTACCCTTAACTTCCAAAGAGAAAAGATTCAAGGGTTTAAATCATCCAAGCAGGATAAATGAGTGATATATAGCAATAGATGCACAAAAAAAACAAGAAAGATACAGCCAGCAACAATAAATTTGGATGCAATCCATCTACTATTTGCAGTGACGGGAAGTAACATCTAATAGAAATCAAGGTTGTCAATTTCACAGGATATGATTAAATTTCAACGGTTATGGAATGATTTTAGTCAAAAATCAAAACCTATTTAAAACTTACTTCTGAATTCAACTGGTTTTGAGAGTTCAAACTGAAACATTAGAGTTTCAATTGATAATTTAGCTGAAACTAACAAACCTTGCCAAATTTTATCCCCAGGCTCCCCAACAACATTTAATATATGTTATAAGAGATACCCCTCACTTGCATGCTTTTGTTGACCTATTAAAAAAACACATCAATAAAAAAAGATCCCTATCGAGCTCATGCTGACCACAACCCGTGCACATTAAGGCTTCGCTTGGGATGACTTTCTTAGTGCTTTCTAAAGCAACTTTTTAGTACAAAAGTTTCTAATTCAATAAGTTTTTGTACTAAAAAACTGCTTTAAAAAGTAGTAAGAAAGCCGTCCCAAATGAAGCCTAAATAAAAAATAAAAACAAAAAAGCTTTCTTGCCCATTATATACATACCTTTGTTGATATTAAGGCTTCGTTTGGGACGTCTTTTTCATTGCTTTCTAAAACGGAGTTTTAGTACAAAAATAAAAAAAAATTTACTAAAACGGAGTTTTAGAAAGCAATAAAAAAGCCGTCCCAAACGAAGCCTAAGTCCAAAATATATTTTTTTAAATAGAGTATTGTTGATCCTATTATAATGTAACAGAATACATATAAGCTAGAATTATAATCTCATGTAATCTTTTTCAAACGAAAGATCAAGTCAATTATCTCGCAAAAAAAAACTTTTTTTTAATGGATTGTGCTTTCCTGCTATTATGATGATCAGGAGATCAAACACAAAAGAAGCATGAAGCTTGAATTGAAGTGTAACTTTAACAGTATTTGCATTTAGTCTTTTACGGGTGCATATTTACATAATTCGGTCACTTTCATCGATATTATAGTTCATAACATACGAGCCAAAATAATCAAATTATAATTGTAACTGACAATACATATAGTCGGACTTGTGATCTGATGCTGTCTGCTTCAAGCTGAAGGAACAATAACATATATTAAGACTCGATCATAGAAACTGGAAAATTATCTTTAACTGAGTACCTGAAGTACCACAGATGATGTAATGAACCCAAATGCATATTCACCAATACGAGGATGACGAATAATAGCAACCTCTTTGAAAGCAGTTGTATTTTGATCTGCAAAATAAAATATGAGAAGGAAAGATATGAACCAAACAAAGAAGTCAATACCAAGGTTGACAGAAAAGGCACGCATCTACCCAGTAATCCTATTAAATCTCTCTTCAATGCTTGGAGCTACAAATAAAGACATATGGAAACACAACAAAGAATTATGGCTGAGTAGAGAATAAAGAATTGATGGTTTCCAAAGCAAGTCAGTTTTGAGCTTGCAAGGAAAATGGTTTATTACATTTAAATTTGACACAAAACTACAAAAAATCCAATTAAACTTTATTTTACAGTACTATATCAGCAACACAAAGCATCTGTCAAACTGTCATAGCCTTATCCCAACCGCATGAAGCACCATATTAGCTATGCCTTGCAATCACTCCTATGACGTTGCAACTTCATTAACAAAAATTCTAAAATTAATCTTACTTACAGACAATGGCTATATAATCATTGCAACATGATAATGACTAATTCCAGAAGATCTTTTTTTTTAAGAGACTACCCAAAATTTTATTCAAAAAAAGGAGACATACAACGACCCAAGCACATCCAAAATACAAAACAACCATGGAGAGCCTAAACTCCAAAGACAAGAGAAGCGATGACAAAAACAGCAAGAAAAATTGAACCCATCAAATAACGAAAGCTACAGCCAGACGGACACAGTAATGACAATCCTGCAACCACCAAATAGCCAAGGACGAACCATCCATTGGAGATAGAAAGCCACCAAGTAACCAGTCGAGAGTCACAAAAGAAAAAAGCAACAACCGATAAGGCAAAGAAGAACCACTAGCTAGAAACCTACCATCAAGGTTGCCAACAATCCAAAGCCGAGGTATGAAGAATTGCCTCATCATAGCTCAAAACCCAAAGCCAAGCCTAAACAAATCCCCTCAGCCAAAAATAAACTCAGACCAAGCACCAGCACAATGCTTACCACTAGAAAACACTTGAACAGCCCGGGAACAACCAATAGCAAAAAAAACCTGATTAAAACAAAACTATTTTTTCTTAGATTTACTTTTACGTCTGTTGCCAGCGCCACTTGAACCTGCATGATGAACAACTCGGGCCACCATGTAACTATACATATCTTGAAAATCCTGAAAATCCACATACTGGCATCCACACCCCACACCCCCCCCCCCACACAAAAAAAAAAAAAAGGTTAAGGGGACATCCAACCAATCAGAATGATCCAAGCTAGAGTTACTTACCGACAAAGCCAGATGGGCTTTCATCTCCGCATTGGACACAACCGAAATTGGAATATCAACATAAGCTGAGGTTAAAGCCAAGTTAACTGGAGGGATAACAACATCCCCAACCACAATCCTATCATGCAGTGCCCCATTGAATCCTTAACATCTCGGTTAAAAGTCGAAGCATCCACCTCATCCACAGGTGAAACAACAGGTACAGAACTAACGGAAGAAGAAGCACAAAAACGAACGGGAGTAACCACAGCATTACCAACGGCACCACAATCAACATTCGCAAGCTCACCCATAGGTGGAACAAACACACTGTCCCCAGGCTCCAGAGGGAAATAGCTTCGTCAACATAGGCAACAACATCCACATGAGCACAAGGAGAAACAAGAGGAGGGCTAGCAACGAGATTGACCAAACAATTATTAACTTCCCCAACCTTAACGGGACGCAAAGGAAAAAACTCATCTATCGAAAGAGTTGGTGCAGCAATAGAGCCAACAAAATCCCCATTTACAGCAGTACTAGGACCACCAACCAAAGAGACGGAAGGCCATAGTAAGAAGTAAATTTAAGGTCAGGAAACCTCGCATCCAGGGACGAATTAAAAAGCACATCACGAAAAGACTGAGACTTGATCGGACCATCCAAAAAATCGGCATCGACCAAGCGATTCACCGCCATACCGGCCAAAAGGTCGATGGGGGAAGAATCACAATAAACGAAAGCAAAATGGAGAAGAAAAGGAGAACTTCCCTGAGCATATGATCGCCGAGGTGGAGGAGCGCCGAGGGCACTAGGGAAACCCTAGCAGAGCTCACAAGCAGGGAAATTTCTATGCTTTTTAGGGACGAATTAGAATTTCGGAAGATCTAACATCAGGAACTAATTACTAGTAGGTTTCCAAGCCTTTCAGACAAAAAACTAAATGAGGTTCCAAAAAGACGCTTAGTAATTAACACAAATAACAAACTTAAATGGTAATTGAAGACAAACTCTGCAAATTTGTAAAGGTGGTAAAAATATATGAAAGCTTCATCCTGTAAACCAAAAAACATTGGAAACCTGAATTTATCAATGAAGAAAGATAATACCTGGAGATATGGCTGTACTGATTTGCTTGGATGCTGAATAAATATGTCGTATAAAGGGCATTCTCTTGATAATCCATTCACCAAGTGAAAAAACAGTGGCACCCAGCCAGGAAGAAACAAAAATCCCAACAAGAAATACAAAAACTAGAGAAGTTAAAAATCCTACACCTGCAAGAAAAGAAAAATAAAAAAGAGAAAATGACAAATGAATGCAACCAAATACATCTATTAAACTGACAGAAGCGATGTTAAATGTCAGTTAAGTCGGACCATATTTTAAGTTCTTACAAAGGATGACTAAACACAGCAAGCTTCCCATGAAAGATTTATACTTTTAAGAATTTTTTTTCTATAGAAACATTAAAAAAAAATTTGAAGCATAACCCAAATGCCTACATATTAATCCCCAACATATCCTCTTCAAACAAAGTACTAATGACAAGTGTGCAAGTTTACCAAAATAACCCCTCCAATAAAAACTAGTAATTTTCCAAATGAATCACACTCATCATAATTAACAACATAGGCCTTACGCCAACTATTTGGGTTCCACTTCATGGACCCTCATCTTTATTATTCATATTGAGTGTCGCATAGTTGCAGAACTTCTTGTCGCAAATTCCTTTGCACATCTTCTATCCATTTCAGCTTCAGCCAATGTTTAAAATTGTGTAATTGGGTATTGAGGCGTTTTTTGTTCATGAGGCGAGGCGTAAGCCTCAAGGCGTTTTGAGGCGTAAGCCTCAAAACCGAAAAATTGTGTAAAGTGATAATAAATATCAAAAGTAATTTTTTATATAATATGTAAATAATATGTTAAATGATGACATATTAACTTCCTAATGAACTATGAATTAACAAATTGATGTACATATGAAATAAAAAATTACACAAGATCTAAAGTGACAAGTAATAAATTGCGTGAAATAGAATTAAAATCCAAATATTAAAAAAACAAAACAATATTACAACAACAACAACAACTTCTTAAAGGATTCATGTCATTATTGTTCGACAAGTTTTACGCTGGCTGTCGACTACCTAACGCAACCCTCCACTTTTCTCATCCAGGACTTGGGACCTGGCAACGGCAGTGTTAAAAAAACAAAACAATATTAAATATAGAAATTGCATAAAAGTATCATATAACATCAAATTCAACTTCAAATTTTTTTTTTTCTCAATTCTCTACTCATTTACAGTTAATTCTTAATAAAAGCTTAAATAGTTGGCAACAACTTAGGAATTATCTGCACTATCATCACTGAGGTGGTCTTTATTTGAGTTGTTGCATAATAAATTACGTAATTTATGTTAGTTTTAACAAAAAAAAAAAGTACACAAATAGAGTGAGGCGTGAGCCTCACGCTAACGAGGCGAGGCGTGACTCAAGGCAGGCCTCAGCCAAGCTGAGGCGCAAGCCGCATAAAAAAGCTTGAGGCGAAGCCTCAAGGCGTTTTTCACTAGAATTATGCTAAGGCGAGCCTCATATTGCGCAATTTTAAACAATGGCTTCAGCTAACTGTTTTTCATCCCAAACTTTTGTAAATTTTGTACATATGCCTTACTCATCATCATCTAAGTTTTGGTGTACATATGCCCAAACCAATTAATGACACTCTATAAGAAAAAATGCATCTATTTGAAACATATCAAAAGTTATAAGAAAATTTAACAAATACAATTGTAATCTGATGAACCGTATACCATATTCAAACATCGAAGCATGATAGACCACCATACAAAAGAAAAATTAATATTACATGATTGAGTAATGAATACTGTAACTAACTAAAGAATTATTTATTTAATAATGAGACATTAATAATATTATAAATAGTTAATCAAAAAATAATGAAAAATGTGTCAAATTTAATCGAGACTCTTAAATCTAATTATTCAAAAAAGTGAATTTTTCAATTAAAGTGCTTTATATATTAACAATTTTATCAAAGCGCCTATACACTTATTTAACAGGTGTATTAAGGGAAAATCAACAGCATTTAAATAAGTAAAAAGCAAGAGCAAAAATGAGCAAGAAATAAGAAGAGAGCAAAGGAGAGAACAAGAATAGAGAGAGTAAGAGCATGTGAGGTAAAGAAAGCTAGTAAGTGAGAGAACGAGAATTAGAGAGCGAGTAGGTGAGTGAGTAGGCAAGCATGTGGGCAGGTGTGCCAACCTAAAAAAGGGTACTGAAGATGAAAGCAAAATGTGAGAGACAGCTATCAGGCATGAGCAGAGCAACATGTGATGCCGAAAAGTAGAGACTTGGAGCAGTGCAACTTCAGGTCAATTGGGGAAGGAGGAAGAATAATCAAGAGCTTTGCAAGGAAATTTCTCCATGTCAATGGCAAACCCTAACCATATATTATGCAATTCACTTCATTTTGAGAAAATAAAGAAGATTAAGAAGGAATTCATGGTATAATTCTCAAGAGGAAACTTATAAGAGAATGATATAAATACAAACCTATAACTATGCTTCCTATATATGAATGAAGCTGATTTATTTAAGAGATTTATGAGGTTTAAGAGTTAATCTAAACAAAAGTGATAATTTTAAATTTTCTAAATGAAATTATTATGAAGTTTTGAACGATAATTTATAGATATAGCAGAGATATATTAATAATTTTAGTAGTTAAATCTTTATATTTTATGTTACAGAGCTGATTTCAAAATATTAAGTTGTAAACCTAATTTAAATTAAAAGAGCAAATAACAAAAAATGAATAAGAAACACATGTTATTTGTATATTCAAAATAAAATTCAGTTGAATATAAATCGTAGCACTAATTAAAAGATATGTTGCACATGCTTAAAATGAATTAATCTAGTGATTTTAAAGATTAACTAAGTATGATTCACTTGAATAAGTGTAAGATATTATCAAATAATAGTAATAATTTGTAATAAAGAAGGATATTTGGATATTTAAAAAATCAAGTAAACTAGACAATATAAATGTTTTACATGCAATCATACTTATTCACTTATATGTACTAGTCAAGAAGGGAAAAGATTGATTGGCAAACTAACTCATATAAGGCTAAGGTAGGTAATCTCATTTTTAAAGTAGAGTAATGCTTTCCTTTCTTTTAAACTTAACAAATCAAATGTTATTTTATAGTTACCTATTCATTCATATATGTAATATCTTTGTTAGAAGATCGATTATGATCATTTATCGCAATCCTTGTAAAAGCTCCTTCATATTGAAATGAAAGATATATATTTCATGTTATGTACTGGCTATTCATTATACATATATGATTAGAAGAATACAAAAGAAATTATATATAGGAGTACTTATATGTACATTTTGAAAGACTGAACAACTCCCAAAGGATACTACTTAGGGGCATTCTACCAACGTGTGTAGGGGATTATGATGTTATAGGTTGGTATAGAATATTGTGATACGCCTTAGGTTTCACAAATTAGGGTTTGCCCTAATTTCCCCTCCAAGAGAGTGAACTTTCTCCACCAACACCAAATGAGAAATAATCACAAAAAAAAGGTAGAGAAGAACAATGAGAACCTTTGCATTAGCAAGCCAAGAGAAAACAAGATAAGTTTGTCCACTTCGAGAAGGACAAGATCTCCCAAAAGAAAACCCTAGAAAAGCACAAGAGAAGACTAGAGGAAGAAAACTAGAAAGAGAATATACTTTTCATAATACCCAAAAACTAAACCCTAGAGGCTCCCTTCATACCCATTCAAAAAACCCCTCCCATCCCCAAAATACCCTCACTTAAGTGAGGGTCCCTCTTCCAGCCAAATCCCGCCCCCCCCCCCCCCCCCCCCTTGGTTTTCTCCGCCTGTAGACCCGCACGGGTCCAGGCTCTGCCTGCAAACCGGGTCCAACATATTGATATTGATGTATGAATACAATGTAGAAGTTGCTCCTATGACAATTGTATTATAATATATACTCTACAAATTAAAATATCTAATATGATAAGCACTGATGATAGATAAATAACTAAAATTTCATTCTTGTTTGATCATCTTTATTATTGACATGAAATATTAAACATAATGATTTTGATATAGTACAGTTGGCATCAATATTGTATTCTTTTTCATTGATAGCAGTCTAGTATTGTGATATATATATTGAGTTATATATATGAATGTATGTATGTATGCATATGAAAGAAATTATGTTTATAGCAGACATGAGGCCCCTACTATTAGGCACTTAAAATAGTTATGTTAGATGCTTTATAACATGTTTCTTTTTGGATGTATACAAGTAGTAACTTGATGATAAATGTATCATATCAATATATGCCTATATGGATATAAATAGAACTTAATAAAAACAAAATTTGTAGTTTAGAGGCTCATTTGAGATATTGGAAGAATTTACATTAAAAAAAATTTATTATAATTTTTTTTATATAATTTTTTTCATTTGACCATTTATTCCCACCTCAGTATTCGGAGTTCCCAGGCTGAATTGTCACAAATAGAAAGGCATGCTACAATGCCAATATTGTTTACACAACCATCCATTAATTCTATTGAAGTTATTCACACTCAGAAAAAAAACTCACCAAATATATCAATACCCAGTTTGACATACAGCGGGCTGAAAAAGCCATCAACAAACTGGATAAACCACCATGTTATAAAGAATGTTACAGCAACTGGGAATAAAACCACACTGCCACAAAATTTCATAAAGATTTTTAGCCAATAAATAAAACATAACTAGCATAGTTATAAAGGAATTAAAGTGCAGTACCAGCCAGTCATAAACTTTTTCGAGACCCAACTTTGTATCAAAGCACAGCACGCCTGTTAATTTCAAGGATAGGTTTGTGAAGAACTCCATGAATAGGTACGCTAATGAATGTAAGAAGACATATTTACATGTAAGCACATGACAGATTGTGTGGAAGCAGTTTTTTTCCGACATGTATATGTATAAAAAATTCCTAGAAAATACAGAAGCACGACTTTGAGCACAACTAGAGATGATGCGAAGTTCAACCCACATGTAAGAAAAAACACAAGAAATTACCCAGATAAAGAGACATTATAGCATATAGTACAATAAAGTACTCATGTATTTGTTTGGAAGTTTATTTAATCTGTATGGGTGTAAAACCCAAATTTGATCAGGCATATGTCACATTTGGATCAATTTAAAAATACCATAAAATTCCATCTTTCACGAAATTCAAAAAAATTAATGTCATTGTGTTTTATTAGTTGAATGGAGCAATTAGATATATAGAACTATATGTTGAATAACGAAGGCTTGTAAGTTAGGGAATTAAATCCCATTTACATTTTTCCTACAAGAACGACAACAACAACAACATCAAGCCTTTATCTCATTATGTGGGGTCAGCTACATCAATCCTTTTTCTCCATTGTGCCCTGTTATAAGTCAAATTCTCATTTAAATCTAATAAAGAAAGCTCATTTCTAATATTTTCTAACCAAGCCTTCTTAGGCTTATCTCTACCTTTCTTAACATAAGCCACAATTAATACATCTACTCTCCTAACCAGGTCATCAGAATGTTGTCGTTTGATTTGACCAAACCATTTAAGGCGACTCTCTCTAACCTTATCTACCATTGGAGCTACTCCAACCCTTTCACTTATATGCTCGTTTCATATCCTATCTCTAAGAGTAAAGCCACTCATCCACCTAAGCATCCTCATTTCTACAACACTTAAATTAATGTCTTTCTTTTAACTGCCAACATTATGTGCCATAAAGCATTGCAGGTTTCACCAACATCTTATAAAATTTTCCCTTAAATTTAAAGGGTGCTTTTCCATCACACAACAAGCCCAATGAAGTCCTCCACTTCAACCATCCAACTTGAATTCTACTAATAATATCCTTATCTATTTCACCATCGCTCTGGACAATAGACCTAAGAAATCTAAAAATGTACTCTTATTAATGACTTGATTGTGCAAAGTCATAATCTCCCAAACTAGATCTAATACTACTAAAATTACACTACGGATATTCGGTTGTAGATCGACTCAAATGAAAACCTTCATAGTCTAAGGTTGGTTACGCGGACTTCCGACGGTGGACGATATTCAAAGGAAGAGTCGAAGATCGACGTCCGAGATCACTCTGTTTGATTTAGTTTATTAATTGTATTTTGATTTAATTTTGCAATTTTTCTTTTTTACCCTTCTTATTTTAAGAGTCTTTTCTTATATAAGCCGAAGGGGCTAATTTGTATTTTAATTTCTTTTGAGGCTTATATTTAGAGGCCCTTCTCTTATATTAGTTATGATGGAATTATAATAAAAATTTGTGTTCTGCACTTGTGTTCTTTTGGGAGGACATTAGTGAGATTCCTATGGGAAGGAATCGAAGTTTTCACCAACCGCAGGATGGGTCCGGGCTCGTGGTTTGAAGTCCCTTGGAGAAGGGCAACGTATCACCCATTAGTTTTCGTAAGAGTCTAAAGCTCGCGATTTTGTCTTCTTTTTTTTATTCTTCTTATTTTCCTAACCGCCACTTCCCCATCTCTCTTTCTCCTATTAGCCAAAAACTCCACTCAAACCCTAGACCAAAAGACACCCAAACGCCAGCCCAATCCCCTTCCCAAAGCCACCGGCCATCATCCATCCCTTATCTTACAAAATCTAGCATTCAAATTCTTTCCTAAATTAGCTCCCTTTAATTTTGGAAACTATTTAAATTCATATTCAATTGAATTTGAATTTGAATTTTACTTCCTAAATGAGGAAACTATTTTAGGGAAATCCCTCAAATCATGCAATTTTTAATTTTAAATAGGAGTTGATTTAAATCTACTTTCCTATTTTAAGATTTTAAATATAGCCACCTTTAACCCCTCATATTAATCACCCATAATAATGCTACCAGCCGGCCCTACCCCCCTTCCTATTTCCTCTTTTCCTCCACTTTTCAATTTGATTATTGAAGGCATTTATATTCAATGCATCTTAAGTTTGGAAAGTTGTTAAATTCAAATTTAAATTAATTTGAATTTGAAATTCTTTCTTAAAATAGGATGAATTATATTATAAGACTTTCCTTAATTCTCCCAATTTGAATTTAATTAAAGACCTGTCATAATTCGCCTTTCCTTATCTTAATAATTCAAGTTAGGAAATTCCTTAAGTCCACATTCACCGTATGTGGATACATTCAACGTATGTGGACGCCTTCCCTTTTTCCCCTGTTTTGGCCGACCCCCTCTGTTCTACATCAATTGGCCTTCATAATTCAAGTTTGCCTTCAATTGTCACTCTAGTCTTATCAACAAGAAGAATATCATCAGCAAAAAGCATACGCCGTGGTACATCCTCTTGCAAATGTCTAGCAAGGGCATCCATGACTAAAGCAAAAAGATACGGGCTTAAGGATGATCCTTGATGTAATCCAACTGAAATAGGAAAATAATTGGTCAAACCACCTTAAAGTAATTGGAAAATAATCTACATAAGATATTTATTATTTGAACACAAGTAATAGCTACAACATGCATATCCTTAATGACTTGAATATAAGGATTATTAATCTCTTTTTTCTCTAGAACTCTTCATAGCACTTCTCTTGGAACTTTATCATATGATTTCTCTAAATCAATAAATATCATATGTAGATCCTCATTCTCTCTATACATCTCCATCAAAACTCTCAATAAATGTATAACTTCCATAGAAAACCTACCCGGCATGAATCCAAATTGATTTTAAAAAATATTAGTATCACGACGTAGTCTATGCTCCATAACTCTCTCCTAAAATTTTAAAATATGACACATTAACTTAATTCCTCTATTATTCACACAATCTTGTACATCACATTTATTCTTAAAAATATGAATCGACACACTCATTCTCCATGCATCTGGCATCTTTTTAGTCTTCAAAATAATATTAAATAGTTTAGTAAGCCAAAAAATTTCTTTATCTCCTAAGTATTTTCACACCTCTATTGAAATAATATTAGGTCCAACAGCTTTTTCACACTCCATTTTCTTCAAACTCTTTTTAACTTCAGTTTTATTAATACGCCGATAAAAACAAAAATCTCTATTTTCGTATTCTCACAATCTTTATTGAAAAGCATATCAAAATATCTCATCCACATTTGTTGAATATCCTCTTCTAATAAAAGCATTTTTATTTTCATCCTTTATACACTTTACTTGAACTAAATTTTTATTTCTCCTCTCTCTTAGTTTGGTTAACTTATACATATATCATTCGTCTTTCTTAATATCTAACTTATTATATAAATCATTAAAAGCTAAAATCTTTGCATCGCATATAGCTTTCTTACACTCCTCAAGGGCATTTTTATATTTTTTTTCAAATTATCAGAGTTTTTACTTCTAAATCAAATTTTATAATAAATCTTTTTATTTTTTTATCTTTTATTATACATTTTAATTCCACCACCAACTATTTTTACTATTTGGAGCTTTTTCTTTTGACAGTACAAGTATATCATTTGCAACATTCTTAATATCTCTAATATTTTTTTCACATAACATTAACTTTCTCATACATAAATAAAATCTTAAGATCTCAAATCTTATTTTTAAAAATATTTTTATGTGTTCATTAAATGCCCCCATCTAATTCTATAACAATGTTTTACCTTATTTTTTATATCTGCCTCTTCATCTTAAAATCCAAAACTAATAAGTGATGTTGAGTACATAAACTTTTACTAAGAATAACTTTACAATCTTGAAAATCTAAACAATTTAATTTTCTTATAAGAAAATAATCAATCTGAGTTTTACCATATCAATTCTTATAGGTGATGAGATGCTCATCAGTTTTCTTAATAAAGGTGTTGGTAATTACAAAATCATAAGTTAAATCAAAATTTAATAAAATCTTACCACCTTCATTGGTCGCTCCAAAACCATAATCACTATATATAGTTTTAAAATCATCTATCTCTCTATCAACATGTCAAATTAAATCACCTCCAATAAAAACTTTTTTCAAGAGATATCTTTTGTACTAATTTCTATAAGTCATTCCAAAATTTTAATTTTGAACACATATCCAAACCTACTTAAGCAGAATAAGCACTTATAATATTAATAATCTTAGCATCAAAAATAATCTTCAAAGATATAATTCTATCTCCAATTCTATCAATTTTTACAGCATACGCCTTATGTGGGAGAGCCGAATGCTAAGATTATTGGAGGTGAGAGAGATGGCGGAATCATGCGGGAGAGCCGAATCGGGCATCTGCGTGCTTCCTGCGCGGCTTCGGTTCAAATGGAATTGTGATTAAAGAAGGTGTGGTAAACCATCGTCGGATAGCCCCTATTGAAGGTAAGGGTAAGAGCGTGCTGATTGAGAATTTGGTTGAGAAAGATATTCTTGGTGGAAATATGAATCCAGGAGTTGCAATTCATGAATCGTCGGCATCGAACGACTTGATTCTCCGTGTGAACAATTTTTCTGGGGTTCTTGATACGCTTAAGGGGCGCAAAATTGGTGATGATCTGTCGTCGGCGAAAGTTTTAAAGGAGGATATATCGGTGGAGGAAGGACCAATAGAGATGGAATTGCATAAGAGTAAGAGTAATGAGATAGTTGAAGCCTGGTCGAAGCCAAAGCAAATCAAACTATCGTTTCATAAGAACAGTGTCGAATTTTCAGAAGATGGAAGTGCTGTGAAGTTAAATGCTGATATGGAAGCAAGGAATTCGCAGATTTTGAAGAATTCTGTGGTGATCAAAGTTCTGGGTAACAATGTGCCTTTTTCGGTTTGTAGCACCGAATTGAGAAAGCAATGGAGCAGGTTTGGAGGTT